ACCTTGTAGATAAGATTCAAGAGGGCTGCTTTTCCATCTGAACATGAGGTCAAATGTACCCCTAGATTAAATCTATATGGTCAGACTTGAGATCAAATGCAAGTCATTGGAAATTCTCTGACGATATCACGGTTGAAGGTGGCAAATGGAAATGTGGTCGCCCAGGGGCTTTTCGTTTTGTTTTTGTCTTCTTTTCTTCATTCTATAGTAATAACCAGGGGTGAGACTGCAGATTCGAGACTTGACTCGGACTCGAGTCCCAAATTTGATGACTTGCGACACGACTCGACATAATTAAAGAAGACTTGAGACTCGACTTATGCCGAGTTAACACTGCACGATTTTAGCCCGATTTTTCACTCGCCGACAGGGTTTGCGAAATCGCCGACAAATGCCCGACATCGGAGGCAAATCGGTGCTCGTTCACGCGAGTGACAATCACGCAGTGTGAATCATCAAAGACGCGATCTGAGGGAATCGCTGACGCCCGTAAAATAATAGCATGCTAAATATCTGGAGCTGTCGCCAATTCACAATCACGCTGTGCGCAATGATTTCTGACTGAAAACTACATCGGCGATGACCTACAGCCAATGAGAGACCAAGATATAGGGCAGAGGGAAGTTCGGGGAGGAGTTATAGACCAGAATCTCAGTATTTTAATAGATATATGAACAATTATATCATACAGAAACAAGCACAAACATTTGCTTGACCAGCCACAACATCAGCATAACAGTTACTGCAAAAATATTTACCTCCAACTCTCTTTGCAGAACCTGCACCCAATCCCTGTTCCCTGCATCTCCCTCCTGCATAATCATGCAGTGTGAAACCCCCTGTCGCCGATCCATCGTGCAATGTGACCACAGCAGTGACCGACTGCTACCCCAGATAGTCACGCAGTGTGAAAACAACGCGATCCGACGAGTTTGAAAATCGTGCAGTGTGAACTCGGCATAAGTCTTAGTGTGGTGACTATGTTTACGCAACTGGTCTCATGGGTTTCTAATGTGTATTTCTTTAACGACAAATTAGTTTAATTTCCTTTGGAGGATTTTAAAACTCAAAAGCTTATGTTTCTGTTTAATATTATCTGTTTACCCGAAATACTGAGTAATTCTGAGAAAAAAACTGAGAAACACCTCAAATGCCGCAAAAAGACAGCATTTGAGGTGTTTCTCAAGTCGATTTCATTAGCGAGTCTTCCAGTGTTGCCAAGTCCACGGTTTTCCCGCTGAATTGGGGTACTTTAACATTGTTGTCGCGGGTTGAAGAAGCGACTCCAATAACATGATATTTATCCACTGGAATGCGAATTTTAGCAGGGGAACCCCCCCCCCTTGTGAAAGGGGAGGTTTCTTGTGAAAACCTGTCAATCCTGGAGTCTTCGTTGCCATAGGCTACTCTACAGTCAAATAGTGAACTTATGAACTTCTTGGAATCTATCTTCTTTGAATGTCTTGACTTTTTTCATAAGGAGATTTTCCTGAATTTGGTCCCAGAACCTTAAAAGAAGCTTCTAGCGCTTTTTGAATCTGAGTTACCTTGCAAAGTTTGGCCATGGTAATCAGACTGTCACAATACCATAGTAACTAGTTACACTATAGTAAAACTGCTCAAACACTGCTATAATATTAAAAATGACAGACAGATTGTGAATGTTAAGGTTTATTAAGATGTCACAGTATTAACAATAACTGTTATATCTAACTTTAGTATTTTGGAAGAAACTATGTTTACAATGGTACATTTTTGTCAGGGAATATTTGAATTCTATGCCTCCAAAAGCCTTTCCGTTATGTAATGACAGTTTTTTATTGTTATTTTTCATAGTGGTCCTCCAGCTGTTTCTAAGTGAGTACATCTGTAATGTGTTTGCCATCAGTAAACCCTTCTAAAAGAGAATGAATGATTGAAATGTTTTATCTTTCTTATTCCTTTTTTATGCCTCCTTCAGAAAACCTGCAATGAATAGGTAAAGAAGGAATAACCAGCAGCCAGCAGTGACCTTGTTTCTCAAATGCTGAGTTGCTTAAATTGTGCATTTGATATGCAGTATGATTACATGTAGAAGAGGCAGACAGTATCTCTCTTTGTGTGTGTGTGTGTGTGTGTGTGTGTGTGTGTGTGTAGATTTCCTCGTAAACCTATCACAGAGACCGACATTGACTTTTACCACGTCCCGACTCACGGTGATGCCAGCAGGAAACGCATCATGGAGGACACAGAGGACTGGTGCCCGCGGACAGGAACTTCACAATCCCGCTCCTTCCGTATCCTGGCCCAAATCACTGGCACTGAATCTGAATTAGGTGAGAGTTTTTATTTGATTTGATTATTTTTTAATTTTATTATTGCTTTTTAAATATGAATTTATTGTTTTATATGTTTTGATTAGGGAAAAATTATTAATTCTGTTATTTATTTGGAACATCTAATTTATTTCTTTTTAAAAAATGCTATTCTAGGTTCACTTAATTAATGTAATTATTTTAGATGAATATGCATACTGAGAATTTGGTAATTTTTGATTAAATTCAATTGTATGAAAGAGTACTTTTATGTTTTATATGGTTAGAAAAAATATGACCTCAAAGTTTAAATGCTCCTGAAAATCAACTCCTGGTGGAAGTAAAAAAAAAAAAATATATATTAATTTTAAAATTTAATATAAAATTTTTTATTTAAAATACTTTTTTTTTTAATGCATTTTATAAATACTGGGCCTTATTCATAAAACACAAGCAGAATGCATTTCTGTGTAAATCAGTCATAAAATCATTCTTACATAAATTGTTGCATTTAATTCAAGGCAACTCAATTCAATTTATTAACAATGGTTTTATAAACCATTTACACAGACATTCATTCTTCTCATGTTTCATGAATGAGACCCATTGTGTGGAAAACCTTCAATACTGAATTTGAGATTAAGATTCAAATTGACGTTTTAAACTGAGAGAGAGTTGAGAGAGAAACAGATGGGATAAACAAGAGAATGAGCATGTCTTTCATTACACCTCTATCACATGAAAGTGTGTCGTATTAAATATGTTCTGTATCATGTTTATGTCTTTCAGATCGCTCACAGGAGTCAGAATCAGCAAAGAATAAAACAAAGTAAGTTCCTCTGCTTGCCAGCTGTTTTGGAGTGTGTGTGTGTGTGTGTGTGTGTGTTAGAATCTCTGTGTGTTTTTTGTTTTTGTGATGATGATTTGTTCAGGTTTTCTCTGAAGGGTGTTTGTGTGCTGTTATTTACCTGTGTGATTTTGGCATCCTGTGGCCTGTTGTTTTGTGAGGTTTCTGTTAAAGCTCTGGCTCTAGTTAACCAGCATGTGCAGATCACTGACGCTTTCCACCACTAGGACACAAAATTGTATTTTTCTTTATTTCTTAACAAAAGGTCAGTGAAAGGAAGTGCTTAAAGGGATAGTCATCATTTACGCACCCTCAAGTTGTTCCAAACCTGTTTAATTTACTGTTGAACACAAAAGGAGATATTTTGAAGAATGTTGGTAACCAAATAGTTGACGGTAGCCATTGACTTATAACCATCACTTAAGCATGACATTTGAAATGTTAAAACATTTTTTATTTTTTTTTATTTTTTTTAATGGAGCAGTTTATTGAACCTTTAGACAAAGTATAAAAAAAATGCATGAGTTTTTGGTATCACTTTACTTAAATCATTTATATATAATGCATTATAAAAGCAGTTTTAATGCATTTGTTATGCCTTGTAACACACCTTATAATGCATTTTATGATCTTGGTAATAATTGTAAGCAGTTATATAATACTTATCTATTCATTGTTACACCTTTAGAAAGTATAATGCATTAAAACACATGACAAACAAACCTTAAAACATTAATGCATTTTAACTTTGATTACAGTTATTTATGAAAAAATATAATGCATTACAATGCATAATGTATTTTACATAGGCTTTAAGTAAAGGTTTACTAAGTTTTTTTGTTGAGTATCATATATCAGCAGTTTATGGCTTATATAGTATGATATAGTCTGAATATGGAGCTCATACTTGAGGAAGGAAAAAAAACTACCTTTATTTTTTTTATCATAGGCCCAATCTGAGAGTTATTCTGGTAATCTTGCACTGTTGTTGGTTTGCCGTTGAAGTTGTCGTGTAATAACTTGTCTTGTTTTGTGCGGGTGAATTCATAGTTTGTAAGGGTTCTTGGCTTCGCTTTCCAAAGAAAGGCATTATTGTTATTATTATTATTATTATACAGTGTGTGCTGTGTGTATTTTACTGTATGTTTATTTGAGTAATACATTGAAGCTCGGTTTGGGACAGAGTTACAGAAGCGAGTTTAACCCGTGTGCAGTGGCGTTTGCGTCTGCATGCTTTACAGTATCTCTGTGCTAAAGACATTCACTTCTACAGCTCTTCATACTGTCTTTGTTTCTTTTTCTCTCTCTCTCTCTTGTTGGTTTTCTGTGAACAGGGTAGTGAAGATTAATCCTACGATTGGACCCAGATATCATAAACTCAGAGACTGGCACCTTGGAGTGTCTGCTCAAAGCCTTAACGTCTTCAGCTTGGTGTAGACGTGTGTGTGTGTGTGTGTGTGTGTGTGTGTGTGTGTGTGTGAGTGTGTGTGAGTGTGTGAGAATACGTGTGTGTGTGATTGGATCTGTGTGTGGGATGTTTCTGCAACATGAGCTCTATAAAGTGTGTATGCGTGTATTTAAAGCAGTGTGTGAAGATTCAACATGCACTTAACGGCAGCAAACCACACATCTCAAACTCTTCTGGTGGATTTAGTGATTTTTATTAGTGAAGTTTATTAGTTGCATTACAGTACTGTATTACATGTGTGGCTTGGATCTTATTTCGTTTCTGTGATGTTTCAGCTTTTGGTCTTTTGATTCCTATTAAAAGGAACGTTCTGGGCTCAAAACTAGATAAACTACACACAGCATCTGTCGATTAACACTGAAAATAATTTCAGCTCATCCTTCAAACAAAACACAGTGATGCAGCATTTACAGTAATGCACTTCCACAGTGTTCTGTGAGGAAATGTGCAGCTCATATTTTTGTTAAAAATGATTAATTCTTCTGAGTAGAAATGTATCTAGTTAGTTGCATGGTCATGACACAAGTTTTAAATGCGATTTTAATTGTTAACAGGTTTATGCATTAAAACTGTGTATTTTAATTATTATTTGGTGCTCTACAGACTTCATTTGTAAGTGCATTACTGTAAATGTGATATTTATTTTCATAAAATTTGATTATTTATACATTTTTATTTTTATTTTCTATGACAAGCCTGCCACAGATGCTGTATAAACCCAGAATATTATTTTAAACTGCTCAAATTTTATTTTACGCTTGAAAACATACTATTTATTTTAATTCATGACTATTTATTTTAATTCATGACATAATTCCTTTCTCACTTAGTTTTCATTATGTAGCAAAATTAGAATAAAGTGGCCTGTATTTTCAGAAGAATTTCTGCTGTGTATTTTCTCCTTATTTGTGTCAGTGTTTTTATCGGTTTCTTTCTGTATGTCCATCAGTTACTGATTTTAAGCCAAAGTCATGATGTTTAACCAATCAGTTACATAAGTAATGGCAATAATAGACAGGTTAACCAGATCATGACAGACATGTGCTCAATCTAAAACTAGTGGGTCTTTTGATTAATACAGTAGGATCCAGTAAAGGTTGTTATAATGAAGTGTTCCTAGTGTCTAAATTGGTCATAAAAATGTGAATGTGAATATTTTTCTTTTAATTCACAGTTCTAGGCAACCTAAAACAGAATTTGCACATTTAACTTCTGTAATATTGTAAAGCATAAAACATATTTGATATTAATAGTTATTGTATTTTTCCACATAGATATGGCTTTAGAATTATGAAATGTGGACATTAACACCAGGAATATGTATTAGTCATATTTATGTAGGATCAGTTTTGATTTCATTATGATTGAACTGCTGCAGTTTTCATGTGTCGCCACTAGAGAGCAGCACTGATTCTTTCATCTCTGCAGATAAAAATGTGAGTTTGCAGACAGTGCCGTTGTCACAGGCTTGTTAAACTGGTGAGGTGACAATGTGATGCCTTAACACATCTTTTAATTGTCCCGTATGGCTCTGTGAAGACTGGGTACTTGACAGAAAACTTGCAGAACCATGCAAAAACCATACAAAATGTTACAGGGTTAATGGTCAGTTCAAAAATGGTCTTTGTAAGCAAATTACTAACACTAAACATTGAAATCTTAAACAGTTATGTAAATTAAACCGTTAAATACATGCAATGTCTGTCACTGATCTATCTATCTATCTATCTATCTATCTATCTATCTATCTATCTATCTATCTAGTAACAACATATAAATATAGTTCCATATAGTTTAAAAAAAAATATTATACAAATATACAAATGTATACAGTTTTATTGATTAATTTTTATACAAGTAACAACACACACACACACACGTTTACTTGGCTATCTAAATGGGGACATTACATAGACTTCTATTGTTTTTATATACAGCTAGTTATACACTTTTTAACCTAAACCCACCCCTACCCCTCACCGAAAACATTCTGCATTTTTACAATTTCAAAAAAACTTTTTTACTTTATTTTTATACCAGTTTTACAAATGAGGACGTCCCCAAAGAGAGGTTTTTGGAGATTTTGTCAGGTTTAGCTCACTTTTGGGTACAAATTTGTCCCCAAAATATGGTTAAGTAGGTACACACACGCACACACACACACACATATATATATAAAATTATATATGGGCTTAGATCACTATGATCATGTTCATATTGACAGATTTCCTCTGCTCATGGATTTGTGTGATGGAGAACTTCCTGTGTATTAAGCCGGGCTCACACTACAGGAGTTTTAAAATCCTAACCGATTATAAAATCTGGTTGCAGCACACACATAAGGAGAATCTTTGTAGATTATCTTCACTCAAATCTTAAACATGCACACACTACAAGATTTTAACATCATGGCGCATCACACACTATGCAAGAATCCGCAAGCGGGTTTCCTTCACTCATACAAAACTGGACGTGTGCTTTTAGCTATACATTGTTTTTTTTATTTCATGAATTGGCTCTGCTGTCGCTCAAACGTTGTCCTCGCATCACTGAATACCAGAAGAGCTTTTTTTCTAATTCAGGTGAGGAGTAGCCAAGGCTTTTCTTACTAAAATGGAAGCAAACTGGTTATAGTCAGCCTTCTCTAGTTATTTATTTAATTATTTAATACTTATTTTAGTTAAGTGCTTAAATTGTAAATACGCATTTATTAAATTATTTTATTTCGAGGGGCTCGACAAGATTTTTGCTCCGATTCTCGGGAGAGGGAAATCAGGGCTAAATTGGGCAAAAAATCCTATAGTGTGAGCCAGGCTTTTAGCCGATTGCTCCTCTCTCATTCGATTAGCCTGCTGTACTGCTCCACTCTGATTGGATTATGTGCTCTGTAACGAATCTGATTGGCTGAGAGCAGTAACGATCGCTCTTATAACTGTGTCTGTTTTCTGTTGTGCCTCTGTGTTTGTGCATGTCTCAATTTGTTATCTGCACAGAATAAAGTCGATTAATTTGTGTGTGCTGCATCCTGCTGTCACCATCAGTTATCTTTTTATTTTTCCTCTATGCTGCTAGCACACTCCTCTGAAGAGTGTGCTAGCATTCGTCTACAGATGTCTCTTATTCCTTTACTGTATAATATGGAGGATTATCAGTTTTACTAACAAAAAAGTACCAAAAGTGCCGTGTTACTACCATGGTGCTTTGGACCTGTTGCAAACAAACAAACAAATACATACATACATACAGTACTGTATATGAATGGCATTACCATCTGAATTGAAAATGAAAATGATTAAATAATAATAATTTATTTTCGAATTGAAAAATAAATAGACATTTTAAAATTATTTATTTTAATTAGTGTTTAGCAATGCAGTTAAATGCATCTGTAAAATAATGCATTAATTTGAACTGAATTCATAAAAAAATTATACATTTATGTACATTATATAATTATATATTATTAATAAATTGTTATTATATACTTTGCCAGTAGTTTTAATCAGTTCACTTAAAATATTGAGTTTTGATTTTTTTCCCCTCTAATTGCCATTATTAATTTAGTATCGTTGATATGCTATAATAGTTTTTTATTAATATTTTGTATTTTCTAATTTCACATTTTAGTTAAAGTTTTAGTAATTTTGTTGTGTGTTTTTGTCATTTTTGTTACTTTTGTATTACATTTTTTTGAAAAATGTCTATATAGTATTTATTATATTTTCATTTGTTAGCTTTAGTTGATTTATTATTAGTTATTTTAGTACTTCAAATTAAATTAAACAAAAATGAGAAATGTCTTGACTAGCTTAAAATATGTTTAAGCTTTTTGTTTTATTTTATTTCATTTTTCATTCAAGTAATTAATCAATCAAGTAATGAAATGTTTTTTTCTAAAAAAAAGTTGTAGTTTTAGTTAACGATAATAACCCTGCCATACCTATAATGCTAATTGTCTTTTTAAGTAATATAGTGTCCCAAAAAATACTTAATATTACAAAATATAATATAATATAACAAAATATCAAATCATTTGTCCACATATGTGTGTCTGAAATGCTGCAGGATCTTCTCTCTTTACTAGCTTCACTTTATCTTCATTATTTTTGCTCAGCGTCTTTGAATCAGCTGGTGTTTTGGTGATTTGTAGTGAATGCATGAAGTCAGTTCTCCTCAAGTTCACACAGGTGTCCAAACACACAATACTGACTTCATTTTCAACACTAGATCTGTTTTATCATCACTTACAACTGTACAAGCGTCTTTTCTGATGTTTATGAGTGTGGCTGTTTGTGTTTTTGTGAATGTGTGGATGTTTCAGTGTGGAATATCTCATCAGCGTCTAGATTCAGAACTGAACGGTGGTCCTTTCGGTTTCTATGGCTGCCGTTTCCATAACATTCAGTCTCCGGGGGCTTGTAATTAGACAGGAGAGATTGACAGAGCGCAGTTGTGTGGCAGAGAATCGGGGTGGTACGGTGTGTGTGGCTATGAATGTGTGTGCTTGTGACGGCCACCCAAGATTTCTAGATGCTCAGAGCCAAACTTCTGTCTTCCTGTCCATCAATATTCACTTCCTGCCTCGCTAAATTTAAGCTGCTGGACGGCACAACCAGACCTGCTGTGTATTTAATGAGTGTTGTGATGGAATGTCTGTCTGTACTGTAGGTACAGTAGAAATGAGCTGTGTCTGGTGTGTGAGCTGTGAGCTGTGTGTGGCTTTGGCTGTTTACAGTGGAGCACTAGCATACTTATACATATTGCATACTTAAACATGATGTGAAACAGTTTGCAGTATGCAATGATTAAAGGAATATTTCACCCAAAAGTGAACATTTTCTGAAAATGTACTCACTCTCAGGCCATCCAAGATGTAGATGAGTTTGTTTCTTCATCACAGATTTGGAGAAATGTATCATTACATCACTTGCTCACCAATGGATCATCTGCAGTGAATGGGTGCCGTCAGAATGAGAGTCCAAACAGCTGATAAAAACATCACAATAATCCACAAGTAGTCCACACCACTCCAGTCCATCAGTTAATGTCTTGTGAAACAAAAAGCTAATTGTTTGTCATAAACAAGTCCATCAAGACGTCTATCATAAACCGTTACTTCTGGGCAAAGTATGAGTCCATAATCCATAATAACGCTTCCTCCAGTGTTGTATCAAAATCCACTCACATATTTATTTTGAGCAGTTTTTGACTGTTCTTGTAAACAGTGCTTGATCTGTGCATATTTCTCTCCTGATTCAGACGAGACTACTTTTCACTGGAGAAAGCAATTTTATGGACAGAGTTCTCATATTTTAGCTGGAAGCAACGGTTAAAAAACATCTTGATGGATTTGTTTCTTACAAATTACTGTGTGGATTACTTGTGGATTGTTGTGATGTTTTTATCAGCTGTTTAGACTCTCATTCTGACGGCACCCATTCACTGCAGAGGATCCATTAGAATTTTTCTTAATCCAGTTTTGTAAAACAAAAAAAAAAACCTTAACATCACAGTTTTTAAGACTGAGATACAAATTTGAACAGTAGTTTAAATTAAAGTCACATATACAATGCATCATAATGAGTAGACATTTCATACATTTGAATTACACCTAATAATATTTTGTTTGATTTTGAGGCAAAATCTGGCACATTTCTACAGGTTTCATAAGATTCACACAGTACTGTACATCATGTGACTCTTGCATGCATAGAGTTCATATACTGTACTGCACACAGTGTACATACTGCATACTACTTTCTCTAGCACTCTTCTTATCTTTCCCTTATAATTATGTCTCTCTCTCTCTCTCTCTGTGTGTGTTTGGTCTCTCAGTGAGGAGCAGGATGATTCTCAGCCCAGCGCTCATGTCTGTCCTGTTAAGACCATGATCAAAGCCCCGGGAACGCCTGTCAGAAACACAGCAGGTAATATCACCTCATGACTGAAGATCCAGTCTCTCTCTGGTCCACATACTGACCCCAGCACTGTGGCAAATGATATTGAACTGTATATACACTACAAATCTAAAGTTCAGTCACACCTATAAACCAATTAATCTATTTAAAAAATACATTCAAATTCTAATTTAAAATTTTAGTTTGGTGTAAAGAAATTTTTACAACATTTCATTCCAATATTACTGTATTAAGTTATTTTAGTATCATTGAGATACTATTATAGTTATTATTCGTATTTTGAATTTGTTTTTATTTTATATTATCTCATATTTTCCAGACTTTTTTCATTGTCATTTTAGTTAAACTTTTAGAAATATTGCTGCATGCTTTTGTCATTTTTTATTATTTTTTGTTTTTAAATATGTCTATGTAGATTTTATTAAACTAAACTAAATCTAGTTAAATAAATCTATTAAAACTGAAATAATTTTTTCCCTTAACTGCCATTCCTCTGCTACACAGTAAAAAAATGATTTTTCGAATTTGTAAATAAAACAAATATTATTGGAGTAGATTTTACAAGAAAATACCTTTCATTCTTTCTACTTAAGAATTTCATGTTTAATTCTATTTTATTTGCCACTTTGTAATTAATTAAATCCTGAATTAAATGAATTAAGTAAATCCTTCACCATTTGTTTTAGTATAGAAGACTAATTGATATCTGTGGTGTCATATCTGTTACTATATTTTATGTTTTAGGATTACTTTACTTAATAATTGTAATACTTAGCAATTCAGACATATTCAAAGCGCACCGGCCTTTACAGTGTAATAAACTGAGGTAGTGGAGGCACTTAAAGATGAGCTGAAGCTCTAATGAGTGTTTGTGTATGTTGGTGTCTTTGGCAGGTCTCATCACTCCTACTTTTGGTGTAATGAGCAACAGTACTCCTTTAGGCCCCGCCTTAGACCGTCCCATGCCACGCCCACACCCCAAAGACGAAGCCTCATTGGTCCAGATGGCAGAACACATCCCTGCTGGAACACGCACTCCTGTGTGCGCTCACTGCGACTTGATTATCAGGTACACAAACTAGTATTCAATACTAGGAAATAGTCCATTTTTGCATTTACATTAGATTTGTCCAAAATAAGATATCTTAGAAGGCTACATAATGCTGCTGCCTACTATTTGTGTCGGGATTATGCCTGTGATTCCCTACAATCCTGTCTAGGTGGGCAACTCACTAGCTTTTGGAACGGATGCACAATATGAAAAATGCAAAAAGCAAAATGAATGTGATATCTGAAAACATGGTAAACAACAACTGGTACTGTTGCTTCATTGTTGTTGTCAGCTTTCCAATTTTAATTGAACAAATACTGACATTGACATTTAGTTTTCTCTGCCCCTCTAGCGCTCTATTACAGGACATAGTATTCATAGAATCACAAAGTCATTAAAGGATTAGTTCATTTCCAGAATCAAAATGTCCTGATAAATTTCCACCCTCATGTCATCCAAGATGTTCATGTCTTTCTGTCTTCAGTCGCAAAGAAATTACGGTTTTTGAGGAAAACATTCCAGGATTTTTCTCCATACAATGGACTTTAATGGTGCTCAACGGGCTGAAGGTCCAAATTGCCGTTTCAGTGCAGCTTCAAAGGGCTCGACACGATCCCAGCCCAGGAATAAGGGTCTTATCTAGAGAAACGATCGGTCATTTAACTAAAAAAAAAAAATTATATACTTTTTTTAATCACAAATGCACATCTAATTAATTAATATAACCATAGATGGAATATTTCTTCCAGTATCTCTATCATTATTATTATATTACATATATTGTAATTATTATTATATAAATAACTATTGATATTAAAATAAATAATATAAACAAAATGGACTATTTCTGTCAGGACCACTATCGTCAAAGATGATTGACAATTAGCATACAGTTTGGATTGGCGGTATGGTTCTGTTCTGGGCAAGAACTCCCTGCGCATCCATGCTAGGCTGCAGGGAGAGCAGTGATAACCCCCCAGGGTAAACAGAACAGAACCAACATAAATGTATTGCAGATATTGTTAAAGTTCAATAATTTTATGTACACATTTTAGAATTAGTCTGATTCAAAGGATAATCAGAAGGCTGAATCCTGACTGACAGAGGAGGAGCTGGGGATGGAGGAGGGTAATTAGCTATTGAGCAATGTGAAAACTGCTGATAATACTGAGGGACCTTCTAAATGAATGCTTAGATAGGTGTCGTATTCCTATAGGTAGATGAGGATCAGCTGAGAGTCAGCTGATGCGAGCTTGACTAACATGACCAGCCAGAACTAACGCTACGCTCGATTTCTTCCAATACATGTATAATTCTTATTTATATAATATGTTATAATTAATTAACTAACAAACAATGGATAATTTATAAAAACTATAGTAATTTATATAAATGTAAAAAATTCTATTCTTTTTCTTCACATATAGTTTTTGTCACAGACCTGACTTTCCTGTCCTTTCCTCCCTCGGTCTCTCTCTTTCACTTTGAAAATGAGATGATTAGTTTAAGAGCGATATTTAATAACAATAGTCACTCTAAACTCACCTCTTACTTTCACAGAGCGAAGGGTGGCCACCTTATCCAACAAGAAACACACACCCGTGTAACACACACCAGATATCACACACTCAAGGCGGCAAATGAGATGGGAAAGCGTAGACTTAGTTACCTGTGTGTGTGTGTGTAAGACAGTAATTAGGATCAGTCGCTTCTCATAGAGCCTTCATTTAGCAAATTAAACCGAGTATTTATTCCACATGAGAGTAAACATTACACCAGACTCTCTGTTTCACCTGCACACTGAATTACATCTGAGATTCAGATCTTTGCTGAAGCCATTAGTGATTAAAGGTGAAGTGTGTCATTTGTGCGCAACTAGTGGCAACAAATGGAATTGCAGTCTGTTTGTTTGTGCTTTTGCTCTACCTGTCTATGTAATTATATATTATAAATCATATAATTTATATAGATCAGCGAGGTGTACTGTATGTCCCCAGATAAAATAGTATGTACTATATATCTTAATTTTTAACATATTGCTGGACAATAATATAATTTACCACTTTGATGGTGCAGAACATTTCACCTTTAATACAATGACAGATTTCAACGATAAAGCAGGTTTGATATGTTAGATGATATTGTTTTAAAGGGGTCATATGATGTTGCTAAAAAGAACATTATTTTGTGTATTTGGTGTAATGAAATGTGTTTATGTGGTTTAAGGTTAAAAAACACATTATTTTCCACATACTGTACATTATTGTTTCTCCTCTATGCCCCGCCTTTCTGAAACGCGTAGATTTTTACAAAGCTCATCGTTCTGAAAAGCAAGGTGTGCTCTGATTGGTCAGCTGTCCAGTGCGTTGTGATTCCAAAGAGAAAGGAAAAATTTAAATCGCATAATATGACCCCTTTAACCACCGGCTCAGAACAGAAAAACGTGCAGCTATTTACAGTATACAATGATTTGGTTTCACATGCAGTGATACTTTTGGTGGAACCTCAAACTTTTTTTTGTGCATTGATGAGAATCTAATTATTAATTAAATTGTAAAAATAAAATAAACAATTATAAATATGAATTTATGAAAACATAAAAACAATCATAAAACATTTCTACTAAAAATTATGAAATATTTTATTTGTTCGTCTGCATGTCATGACAGTTAACTGACATCAGAGGACTGTGAACATGTAAATGTGTTGTTGAATTATTGAAATATTAACTTAAAACCTCGAAGGTACTGCGTAAAATATTTCAGGTCAAAGGTGTTCGACTGGCAAAACGTTTTTCCAATTTAGGGCCAGATTTACTAACAGCTTGCGCCAGCGCAAACCGTCTTTTGCCATTAAAATAGTTCTGTCAGGATTTACTAAAGACGCGCAGTGAAGAGAATTAGCGCTGAAAAGAGAAATTGTGCCTAACCTTATTGAATATGCATTTGAAGGAGTTTCCCTGTCAAATGCAAAATGTATGGGAGGAGAGTATTAAAATGAATCATGCAACACGATTTACTAACGTTTACGCTTGTCAAATTACTGGTATTTGCGCCATTATTTAACGCCCAAAAAAACATGTCTTAATGCAGACGCTAATTTGCGCTGCTCTTGGTAGATTGCTTTGATTGTTATGGAAATGATCTGGCTGCGTCGGTGTTCTTTAATTTGCGCATTGTCAGTAAATCACACGCAGAAATATCCACTCCCATCGGCGCTGTTTTGGAATTGCGATCTCGCGCTAATTTGCCCTGTTTAGTAAATCTGGCCCATAATATGTAATGCACACATAATGGTCGCAAACAAAAAAATTATTATTATTTTTTTTAAATTTCATTTTCAGAAATCAGGGTGCACAGGTTTTTTTTCGGTTTAACAGAAAACAAAGTTTCATTTGTACGTCACTTTGGATAAAAGCATCTGCTAAATGAATAAATGCAAATGTTACAGTATAAAGTGTCTCCAAAGTGCCAGGTTTCTTCATTGAGGGCTTCAGATTTAATTTTATGAGGTTCATGGGACAGAATCTGTGAAAGAGTTTTGTTTAAGGCATTTAGTAGCAAGTAAACAGTGTATTTAATACAGTGAAACTTAAAACAAGGCTGTGTGGGATAAACATACAGTCGTTTAAAGAGATAGTTCACCCAGAAATGAAAATTCTGTCATCATTTATGGTTCCAAACCTGTATGAATTTCTTTGTTCTGTTGAACACAAACGTTGACCCAGTTGATTGTAGTCATTGACTTCCATATTATTTTTTCCATGCTATGGAAGTCAGTGGCTACTGTCAACTGTTTGGTTACCCACATTCTTCAAAATATCTTCTTTTGTGTTCAACAGAAGAAAGAAACTCATACAGGTTTGGAACAACATGTGGGTGAGTAAATGATGTCTTCATGATGAATTCATTTTTAGGTGACCTATCCCTTTATTATCATGCATAATTTTCAGTTTTCTTGAGATTTTTGTTTATTGGAATTCAGCTCCAAGATGCTATATACAACAGTGCAACTCATTGAAGGTTTCACTGTACAGTCCTTATTACTTTTGGACAGATGGAAATTCTGGCTAATTTGGCTTGTCGGTTTCATACTGTCTAGGTGGGCTTGTCTTTGCCAGAGTAAACTGAAAATTGGACCAAAAATGGCACTGTGTCACAACACAACATTCATTCAATGTAAAAACACCACGAATCTTGTTGCTGTTTCATGTGTGTTTTATCTTTCACATGCATGTATGTGTGTTTCAGGGGGCCGTTCCTGATGGCGATGGGGAAATCGTGGCACCCGGAGGAGTTCACGTGCGCTCACTGCTGTGTGTCTCTGAGCGAGCTGGGTTTTGTGGAGGAACAGGGCTCCGTTTACTGCCAGCACTGCTATGAGGAGTTCTTTGCTCCGACCTGCGCACGCTGCCAGTACAAAATCCTGGGGGTCCGTGACTGTGTGTTTCACAAACATGAAATACACTCAATCTCTAACTGCCTGTCAAATGCTATACAAATATATTCACACACAGAGAAATTAATATATATTTTGGGACGGTCTAAACATCCGGGTCTTTATTTTATTTGCATGTACATTCAAAAGTTTGGCGTTAGTGAATGAATTTAATGCTTTCATTCAGCAAGGATGCATTAATTTGATCAAAAGTGACAATATAAAGACATTTTTTGAGCAGCAAATCAGCATATTAGAATGATTTCTGAAGGATCATGTGACACTGAAGAGTCGAGTAATGATGCTGAAAATTCAGCTTTGACCACAGGAATAAATTACATTTTAACATATATGTTAAAAAAACAGAAATAGAAAACAGTTATTTTAAATTTAAATAAAACTGTTTTTCTGTATTTTTGATCAAATAAATGCAGCTTTGGTGAGCATATAAGACTTCTTTCAGAAACATTTTTAAAAATTACCAACCCCAAACTTTTGCCTAGAAGTGTACATGTAAAGATGATGATGTTTTGTTTTAACAGGAAGTGATCAATGCACTCAAGCAGACCTGGCATGTGTATTGTTTCCTGTGTGCATCCTGCCAGCATCCGATAAGAAACAATACTTTTCACCTCGAGGATGGAGAGCCGTACTGCGAGAGGGGTATTTGTTTGTCTGTTACTTTCTACTTCTATTATTTTATACCACTTACCTCCTTTACAAACCTTTCTGCATTTACTGTATACATTTTCATGATTATTTTCCTCATGGGGGCTTTTGGCTGCTCCTCACAGTGTAGCTGATTTCAACTTTTTCTTCTGGAGACATTTGATCCCTAAAATTATGGCAAAATATCAAGAAGATCCCACATAGAATAGATACCACACTGACAGATAAAAACTACCGTAATCATTGGAAAGGAAAAAGATTCACAAATTTGATCTTTCTTATATCCAAATTATTTACAGTTATGAGATTAAGCAGAGAGTATTTTTATAAATGGAGGCTTCTCAGATGCTTCTCCTGGAAAATGATTTGATGAAAAATACAGTAATATTGTGAAATATTATTACAATTTAAAATAACTGTTGTATTTGAATATATTGTAAAATGTAATTTATTCCTGTGATGCAAAGCTGAATTTTCAGCATCATTACTCCAGTCTTCAGTGTCACATGATCTTTCAGAAATCATTCTAATATCCTGATTTAAAAAAAAAACAGTTGTGCTTCTAAATTTTGTGGAAACGTGATGCAGTGTTTCAGGATTCTTTGATGTATAGAACGTTTTAAAGAAAATATTTATTTGAAATAAAATTATTTTGTAACACCATAAATGTCTTTAGTGTAACTTTTGATCAGTTCAGTGCTTCCTTATTGAATAAAAATATTAATTTCTTTAAAAAAAAAATCTTTTGAATGGTAGTGTATACTATCCACATTCATTTTATAGCTCATTCATTGTATTAATTTCAGAAGAAACATCAGAGACAAAGCTGATAGTTAAAGTGTCTCTGAGTTGTTGATGTTTTCTAATAGTTTTGTAATTGTCTGTTTAGATTTCTACAGTCTGTTTGGGACTGGCTGCCGTGGTTGTGATTTCCCGATAGAAGCAGGAGACAAGTTTCTGGAGGCCCTGGGTGGCACCTGGCATGACACCTGCTTCGTGTGTGCAGTAAGTGTGTGTTCAGGCTCGTCTGTGAGTGTTTGTGTGTTCACCGAGTGTTGTGTGATGAATGTCCGCTGTGTTCTCTTCAGGTGTGCAGCGTCAGTCTGGATGGTCAGACCTTCTTCTCCAAAAAGGACAAACCGCTTTGCAAGAAACACGCTCACAATCTCAAAATATAAATGCGCCTTTGTAAGTGCAAAATATGAATGCGACTGTTGAAGCATAAGCAAAAAAACTAAAATACATATTTGAAAGATATAAATGACACATACTCAAAGTAAAATCACTTCTGATTCAGGACGATCTGTTAGAAGATGGTTGTGTGTGAACAGCACTTTTGAAACTTGTGTTAGTGTTATTTTATTAAATCAAAGAAGTATCTTTTCTTTTTCTTTCCTGTCTCTCTTAAAGGGATAGTTCTCTCAAACATGAAAATTGTGTATGGACAAAAAATACTATGGAAGTGAATGGGGACCTATAGGTTTGCACTTTCAATCATTTTTGTTTTTTGTAAAACTTTTAAAACTCCTGTTTTCTTTCATACAAGTTTTAATAAAAATCAAATGCCAATACTCTGCTGTCCCCTCGATTTCAGTCTTTTACCTCTTATTTGACCTCCAATTATGAAAATTTATAACAGAACTTAAATGGAGAACTGGACAACCGCGTGGCACAGCTGACACAAAACAGCATACGCAATTTACGTTCAGTGGCTATTCTCCAAAATGGCACTAGGGTGATGCGGAGGAGACGAATTGTTGAATAAAGTCGTTATTTTTTTTTCTTTTGCGCTCAAAAAGTATTCTCGTAGCTTCGTAAAATTACGGTTGAGCCCCTGAGAGAGCTCTCGGATTCCATCAAAAATATCTTAATTTGTGTTCCGAAGATGAACGGAGGTCTTACGGGTTTAGAACGACATGAGGGTGAGTAATTAATGACAGAATTTTTCATTTTTGGGTGAACTATCCTTTTAAGCAAACCCTTAAATACAAACTTAAGAGTTTTAATTCATCCTGCAGCGTTTGTGCTCCAGACATGAATGATTCCTTGATTCCTCTGTACTATATTGAGTCTGAAACTAAAAACAGGCAACAAATCCCACAGATTTACATTGAAGGAGTGAATGGAGCCATATCTGGCAATGAGAATATCATAGAGACTTGAGGATGGACTATTTTGGGCTAGTAAGCACCCGCCACAACACCTTAGTAACTGTAGCAGGCATTTTCTTTAGGATGTAACAAGTTTAGTGTCAAAGTGAAGTGTTGTGTGCGTTTTTCTCTCTCAGGTGAGTGGTTTGGCTGTAATGACCCTAACTCACACCAGCACATGAGCTCAGGGGTCGTGACCTCTGCCTAAAACATGAATGAGACATTCACTCCGGCCACAAAGAACACCTTTTCTTGTTTTCTGTCTTTTCTCCTCGTCCTCTCTCTTCATGCTGGTCTGAGGGGGGTGGCTCTATTCATCAGAAGATGCTGAAAAATCAGAAAAAATATAAAAAATACTGTATGTTCATTTAACAAGCCAAATTATTTAAGTTCTTAAAGATTTTTTGTAGTATGTGCAATATAAATTGTCCTTTACTAAAAAACTTATGATAACGTGGTTTAGTAATAGGCCTACACTGATATGTACTGTGGTCCTGTTTGATTACCATATTTATGTACCATGGTATTTACATGGTACTGTGAGGTACTTCAGAGAATACCATGGTATTCCAAGAGTATCTCATGGCATTGCCTTTGTGGTGGTACTTTTTTAAATAGTGGGGCATGTTGTCACAAGTTGTGATTATGCTGTTTATTGAAACTTATTTTAAGAAGAATAATGTAAACGAATTAAATAATATGCATGGTTATTATAGTTATCTAAAACAAAAACTAAAAAACATTTCTGTTGCTTGAAATAAAATAAATGGTAACTGAATATATATATATATATATATATATATATATATGTGTGTGTGTAT